AGTTCTTGGCCTTGATGATTCTGGAAAGAGCCTTAGCCTCTCCCTCCTGGCTTCAGTCCCTCCTCAGAGAACAAGACAACCTGGATGCTATAGAAGATGCTTACAGAGAACCACTGTTAGTCTCTCCAAAAGGTCCACATTCCACCCTCCTAATCTAGTTCTGCACTACCGCCCTGCTCCCCTGGCGGTGGCCAGCTCCCGCATTGAGGAGGGGCTCATCTCAGTTAGAATGAGGGAGACAACATTGCACACATACCCTCCCCGGCCGTGTGTACATCTACCCTCCATGCCCCCAGTTGCTCTCACTCCAGGTCCTGATAAGTTAGGTGGTCTTGGGTGTGCACAGGAATCAGGATGTAGCTGTTCATATATACATACACAGACATATGCACAGGTTGACAGCTGTGTGCACATAGAAAGCCGTGCACAGTCACGTGTATACATACAACAGGAAGGCTCAGCCCTTATCTGAAAATCACACCCCAACAATCACTTGAACCCCAATCCTCAGTGACCCAATGGTGCCCAGAGCCAGCTTTTCTCAGAGAGAACAGGACCCTACCCATGCCTTACCTGGCATTTTGTGTCATCTTAAAACAGATAGACAGAAAAAAAAAACTCCATGAGTTTCCTTAGTCCATGATAGTTCCACCCGTGTTCCAACAACATGATTCACTGTCATGCTCAGTAAGAGACAGTTCTACAGTCTGGGGGAACACAGCACGCCAGGTGATGGAGGGTCACAAACCATGGCCTCTGAGAAATCCTGAAGCAAGGCTAAAGGTCACCAGTTAACTGATGATAAGTTGCTGGCCCGTGGTGGATAAAGTAAGAAGGTAGATAGATAGGTAGACAGATGGTGCATAGATAGATTTTTGTGGTTAAATTAACTCCATGAAACACACTTCTAAATAACACCTGGACAATGGTTTCATTTTATAAATGAAGAAATGGCCTCAGACAGATCTGCTAAGAGTCACCCAGTTGGTCAAAGGCAAATCAGGAGTCGAACCCAGGCCTCCTAACATCCTTGTCTGCCCTCTGTTCAACTGTCCTCTTTCCCTTTTCTGCATCAAACTGTAGTTTGATTTCTAGCGATCAAAGAGATCGATGTTGTTTCCACAACAAAGCCCAGTGTTTGTGATTGCACTGGATGACTTCACCCGGCCCCACCCCCACCACCACAGGCATGCCCTCCTTCCGCTGGAGAAGGTGCCCTTCCCTGCTCCCAGACACTCTGGACTATTCTGAGAGGGGTCTATGGACCTGGATCCTGTTCTGCTGCTGGGAATAGACGCTTGCCATGACATTGCTAAGGGGCAAGCTGGAGAAATGAAATCTGACGTCTGGCCTGGGCCTGGGTGTCACTCACTGCCTGGCACTGGTTTCATAGCTCAAGTACTGGAAGCAGAGCTTGCTGCCCTGCCCCCTTGGCCAAAGTCTAGGCAGCACAAGTCCTACCTCCTATGCACCCAGTTATCGTCTGCTGTTCCTTCTGCACCCTCGGAGCATGCATCAGTGCCCACTGCTCCCAGCAGGCACAATGTCTGCGTCCCTGACGTGCTGTCCCTGTTCATGGCTACCTAATGCATCGCATAGGCACAGCTTTTCTCCTCCTGCCATTCCACAGCTGCCAGAGGACAAGCAAAGTCCTAGTCTCTCTGACTCCCAAACAGCATGCAGGAGAGGAAGAGAAAGAATGGCTTCAAAGTGCCGAGCATGGGGCTGGACACACGGGGTGTCCCAGGGCGTAACAGCATCACCTAACCAAACAATTCACCAGGCAGGGTAGCGCGTTGAAGAGGGGTTAAAGAGCACTGGGATGGTACACAACCAGGCAGCTCTCCTGGATTTCTGGGCCCTCATCAATGCAATGTGGGAATGCAGGAGGCTAAGGTCACTTCCGGTTCTCCATTCCAATTACAGAACCAGATAGAGGGGAAAGCCTAAGTCATGTTCCTAGCCAGCCCCTGAGCACAGAAGCAGCTGACATAGCATTAGGAGAAGACTGTGCATGCATCCAGAATGAAGCCATTGATTACATTTGCAGGAATAGACTGGGTAAGACACACCACAGACCCTAACCTCAGATACATGGTGGAGCCTGACAATGGGACTGGGGGCTATGGACAGGAAGGTGTGGGGTTACAGTCCCTTCTCCTGTTAGCTTGTTATGCTAAGATCCTTTAGGAGCCATTTCTCTTGTTCCCTGTCTCTGGCCACAGCCTTACAGTCTGGCTTGGACACAGACACTGCTTGAGGCTCCTTTGCTGGAGTCTCACTGGGGTCCAGTCCTAGTTCTGCACCTTCCCTGGGCTCCATCCATCTCTGAGACTCCTTTCCTCTTTGTACTGGATAGAGGAAACTGTGATAATAGATGTCCCCTTCATGTAGCACCATAACCCACACTCCCCCCTTTTCCAGGCAGGTAAAGATCCACCAAATACTTCTCCAGGAGATGGCAAAACAGCCAGCCAGGGTCGTGAAGGCTCAGCCAAGGTGGGCCTATTATCTGACACTATTTCCCTTTGGGACATTAGGTGCCCTGCGGGTGAGGGCTTGGAGAGCAGGCCTCAGCCTTCTATCAGGGAGTGATTGGGAAGCCTCCTGAAAGGATGCCCAGCAGGTTGTGCTTGCTCCTCAAACCCAGCTCCTGAACAAGTCACTCTGTCCCCAGCTGCTTGGGCTGGCCTTCCTCTCAGTCATACACATGGTGAATAGCTTCTTACCCAAGGCAGCCCGAGGCCAGGGCCCCATCACCCAGAAGTGTAGGATCCCAAGCAAGCTGCTTCCTCCACACCTGTCTCCTCATCTGCCAGATGAGAAGTTGGATTACCAGACCTTCCCGATTTGAAGTACCATCACCTTGTGACCTGAGACAGTCCGGCAGACTTTGACAATATGGACAGGTAACAAGAAGGACACACGCCTTTGGCCAGAGAACACTCGAGCCACCAACTAATACATGATTCTATTTAGGTATTTATCCCATCCCATCGAAGAGCACACCGCATGCTGTCTATTATCACACCTGAAGGCATGATGCACATTTGGAGTATATTCCAGACTTTTGCACATATACATTCACACTTGGAGCACAACAGAGGTATGTACATATGTTAGGGCACACAGACTCTTTGGAGATAAGCACATGGTATGTATCTACGCAGATGTAGCTCACACTTGTGGGTATAAGATGGAACTCTGAAAAAAGTTCTCTCTGGGGTTAAGAACACAGACCTATACCAGGTGCTGGTGGCACATGCTTATAATCCCAGCTACTCAGGAAGCTAAGATCTGAGGATTGAAGTTCAAAGTCAGCCTTGGCAGCAAGTCCATGAGACTCTTATTTCCAATTAACCAGCAAAAAGCCAGAAGTGGAGGTATGACTCAAATGGTAGATTGCCAGCCTTCAAGCAGAAAAAGTTGAGCCTCAGTACCAGCACACAAGGAGAAAGAGAAGGAAGGAAGGAAGGAAGGAAGGAAGGAAGGAAGGAAGGAAGGAAGGAAGGAAGGAAGGGAGAGACATGGGAAGGAGAGGAGAGAGAAGAGAAGAGAGAGGAGGGGAGGAGAAGAGAAGAAAGCAGAGGAGAAGGGAGGGGATGGGATGGGAGAGGAAGGGAGGGGACACAGACCCTTCAATGAGATGCACAGGTTTATGAACCTTGAGTAATGGCTTGTTCTGTGAGCCTCAGTTTCTTCATCTGTGAAGTGGGGGTTTACACTAGGGTTTACCTCATGGGGTTCTCAAAAACTAGAGGCTTGTAACAGGCAATACCTGTACCCGGGTCCCTACAGTGTCTAGCATGTAAGGAACATTTAACAAGCAATGATTTTGTTATTGCTCATGCACTTAAACATATTTTTACAATATATATATATATATATATATATATATATAAATCAGATGTTCCCAGAGTCTTAAAGCTTTTGAAAACTCAGATAACAGACAGGAGGACCACTTAATTCATATTTATTTCACATTTGATCTGTAAACTTTATTTTTTAAAAAAAAAATCCACTGTCGTGAGCAACATGTGCTGACATTACTTTTTCTTGAGTGAAATCAGAGTGCAGGACTCCCACTGTCTCTGTCCAGAACATGTAGAAACCGGGTTGTAAACACAAGGTCTCCAGCTTCGCCCCTGGCTTTGGCCGTTCATTAGTGATGTGTTCTCAGCCAGAAAAGCAAGGGGGGGGGGGAGAGGGTGGGCAATACTTTGATACCTAAGAGCTCTTGGGGCTTGGAGCTGGACAGTTTGGCAGGCCCATTTGTCTTTTCAAACTGTTTACCTTGGGCAAATTGTATTGGGCTGTTGCTTCCACCTAATTTCCACTCCTCTGTGTCTAAAAACAGCAGCTCAACGATTTCCCCTTAGTCAGGGCTTTGGAGGCTGGGGAGAGGGGGAGGGGCAGACACATACAGGACAGAAACATACAGAGTCTTCTTCAAGCAGCGGCCCCTAAGACAGGGAGGGGCACCGGAAAGAACGAGTTTTTAAGTGAGTTACTGGGGCAAACGGTGCCTCAGAGGATAATGGCTTTATACACACGACTGATGCAAGGCGGAAAGGTTCATTGACTTCTGTCTTGGGCCATCGCTGAAGTATTTACATAGGACAAGGCAATTATGCTGTTAGGCACAGGTGGGGGGAAGGAAAAAAAAAAAGGACAGAAATCTTTTTCCGTGTCAGGAAATCTCAAACAGGTTTGTGTCCAAGGAACTGTCCTCACCAGAGGGGCATTGTCATACTAGAAAAGAGCTTGCGTCTCCTGATCAGGCCCCTGGTCCTTCCCAGAAAAGGATTCCAACTTCACAGCACAGGCCATGTAAACGCTGGGAGGGTCCAGGGTGTGCTGTCCAAAAAACAGTGTGTGTCTATGTACAGCTGAGGGTGGGGAAGGGCGGGCAGGGCTGCCCTGAGCGGTGGAGTTGGCTGAATTGAATGGGGAAAGGTGACATTGCCCCCCTCGCAACCGCCCCCCCCCCTCGAAAGCAAACAATACTGTTAAGGGGTGGGCCCACCAGGAAAATGGCTCCCCGGTCATGAACGACCATAACAACCATTCCCTCGTAGGAGCTCTCAGAAGCACGCTGAGCACCGCCACCGTCCAGGCCAGGTCCTGGGTTGGGAGTGCCGCCTGGGCTGCGCGCACGGCCGGCCGCCGCCTCCCTCCGCGCCCCAGGCCCGCCACCTGCAGGAGTCCGTGAGCCAGGCTCGCGCGCGCGCGCGCACAGGCGTGCGCGCGTGGCAAGCTCACACGATCCGCTTTCTGTCCCCCCTGCAGAGGATCTTCTTGAAGGCTCGGCGGAAGTCGTGGTTGAAAATGGTGTAGATGACCGGGTTCAGCGAGCTGTTGCAGTAGCCGAACCAGAAGAAGAAATTGAAGAGCGTGCCGGGCACGGCGCAGCCGACCGCCGTGAGCGTGTAGGTGAAGAAGAAGGGGAACCAGCACACCACGAACACGCCGATGACCACGGCCAGCACGAACGTGAAGCGCTTCTCGCGGTTCTGCCGCCCGCGCCAGCGCGAAGCCTTGGC